CTCGTGCGCGCATGCCACAGCTTGCATGTGGAGGACTGCTGTGGAAATCAGTTCTCTCCTAATGTAATCAAACTCAGGTCATCAGGCTTGTATACAAGCATCTTTACCCACAGAGCCATCGTGTTGGCCGGTAACTACGGGCTTTAATTCCGATAAATATGTGCTCATGTTACTAATAGCAGGGCCAGCAGTTAAACATGAGAAGCTCCAAATGCAATTCTGGATAATGATAAAGATGAAGGAGTTACTAGCTTCCTTTTCATTCTCTTTCTTGTTATATAGAGCAGTTGTGAATAGTCCTGCATAGGTTTCTTGTTGCTTTGAATTATATTTGGCCTGAATATAATACAAATAGAACCACTGAATCATGACAGATACATGGATTTTGGATGCTTTTGCATATGGCCACATTGCATTACCAAACTGAAGGGCAGTTTTAGAAACATTAGTAGCATGTAGCCATTCCAGGGCAATAGACTTTAACTCTGATGAAGTTTGCCCACCCTGCTGATGATAGGAAGGCCAGGAGTTAAACAGCAGGGGTTGGTGTCAGGTGGATGTCAGGAATGCAAAGAGCCCAGTTTTCTTGAAGTCTGTGAGTATAAGGTCTGCCACCTTTGTGAAAGGACATGAACCTCTGCCAGTTTGGTCACTTACATCACTACCCAGAAGCAAGAAAAGAAGGAGGCAAATGAGAGAGGAGGGTGAGGGCTCCTTACAGAGAGAACGGTGAAAGGACATGAACCTCTGCCAGTTTGGTCACTTACATCACTACCCAGCAGCAAGAAAAGAAGGAGCCAAATGAGAGAGGAGGGTGAGGGCTCCTTACAGAGAGAATGGGCAGCAGGCAAGCCATCCACAAGATGGCTAAGGATTTGGGGAAGGTAGTTTTGATTTTTTTTTCTTGTGGTGCTAAGGGCGCACCCAAGGCCTTACACAACGCAGGCAAGTGGTCTGCCACAGAGTGACATCCCACCTGAACTTTGCTTTTAAAGACTTTTTTCCCTCAAACTATCCAACCAAAGCTGGGTGCACCCCACCAAGAGCCTGGACTTGGAGCTAATGGTAAGCCTGTCTCCCCCAGTGTGGCCAAAAGAGCCAGATCTTATCAAAGATGGTATCCAAGAGCTGTAAGCTGCACTCATTTCTAAGGTTCATAGCTGGAGGCTCTTGGTCTCATTTATGAGGTCTCTCAAGTAGGTCTTGCCTGCTAGGTGGGGGAAGTGGAGGTTTGATAAAAGTCAGACCCCAGTTCAGTTTTGGGGACCCAAGGGGAACAGGAAGAGCCAACTGCATTTTTAACAAGTACTCCAGTTGTTTTTATGCTGAAATGTGAGGACTCCTCAGAGGGTCCTGTTCCCTACCCACAACCTGCACTGCTAATAACCAACAAGACCCTGTCAAAGAAGTTCTCTTTACATTATCCCATTAAGCCCTGAACATTTCAGAGTTATTGCTGGGCTTAAGTTTTTATTTGAAGGTGATGATCTGCACAGAAATTTACCGCATTTGTTTTTAACAACTTGACAGTGGAGCGTCTTGGTGGTTGGGCAAACTTATATTTGTAGAAACTTGTGGGCTGGGCCTTGGGGCTGGGTGAGAGCAAGGCTATCCTGCAAGCATGGGAAGGCCAAGATAAGATGGTCTCTTTGTTCAGATGACATCAGCTCAGCTTGCTTGGGTCCCCTCAAGAGCAGCCGGCAGACAAAATGGGTGGGCAGGACGTGCAGTGTGGCTTCAGTAGCAGCTGCTCGTCCATATTTCCCTCAGAACAGGAGACGTAGAGGCCCATGCAGGGTCTGGACCAGCCATTTCCTAGAGCTTTCTTGGGGAACCACATACTTCCCTCCCTGAGCTGAGCGATCCCCTGTGCCCCCTCATGCTGGGTTCTAAGAACTTGTTGTTTATACTGTACTAAATATATTCTGGTTGCTTCTGCTTCCCCCAGATAGCTAGCTGTCCACTGCAGCAGCCTCGGGGTGGCCATGAGAGAAGAGGGGCCTCAGGCAATAGCAGCAGCCCCCTGATAAGGGCTGTCAGGAGGTGTCTGCTGTGGAAAAGGGACACATGTCTCTTTGGGTCTGGCTCCCAGCTCTTGAGGGCCATGCCTAATGCCTGGGGTTGCCTCCACCTGCTCTGTCCTTCCTGTCAGTCCATCCCCGCCCCTCACTCTGCCTGTAGAGCCATTGGGCGTTCGTACCTCCTTGAGGGTGTCCTTCCTCCAAGCCCACCTGGTCCTCAGCACCTGACAGTCACCTGTCTCACAAGAAGGGAAGCCAGGCCCCCAGGGGTAGGAACTACTTTAAGGCTACTCATTCCCCAGGAAGCAGACAAGATAACCTGTCTCGGACCCTCGTCCAGGGCTACCTGCACTCACATGTCAGTCAGCTTGTTAAATGTTTAGTGAATCAGCATGGGAGTGATGGCCTCTCCCCTGTCTCCTTCCTTCCCGTCTGGGAATTCTTGGCTTTATTTCTCAATTCATAGTGAATCCATGACGAAGAGTCAGGGCTTTCATTTGTTGCATCTTTTACTCCACTTTCCGTCCCCAGCCATTCTGAAACAGAATCTGGCCTCCTCCATCCTGTTGCTTGCTTCTTTGTAGTGTGTTATTTCATTCACCGCTATGCGCTCGTTTCCGTGCTGGGCCACCATACAGTCTGTGACTGGCATCCGTCTCAGCGGCTGTTTTCACCCTTTCAGTGTCAGATCACACACAACATGCAGGAGTCCAGACGTGGGGCTGACCCCGAGGGTGGGGGCTGGAGCCAGGAAAGAGAGCATGGCAGTGAAATTCAACATTGTTATTTATCCAACATTAGGGCCCAGCTCAATCCCCAGAGCCCCGAGGGTGGCGGGCGCGTGCTTGTAACCGCAGTACCAGGGTTCGGAGTCATGTGGATCCCAGGAGCTCACAGGCCATCAAGAGCAAGGAGAACAGTGCCTGAGGACAAACACCGAGGCTTCACCTGTGCTTGTGCACATGGAGCAGCACACGTGTACAGTAGCAAACACAGGAACAGACACACCTGTACACCAGCACACATGTATACTAGCACACACAGGAAATGACACACATGTACACCAGCACACAGGAACAGACACACATATTCACCAGCACACATGTATACCATCACACATGTACACCAGCATGTATGTACACCAGCACACACAGGAACAGATACACATGTACACCAGCACGCATGTATACCAGCACACATGTACACCAGCACACACAGGAACAGACACACATGTACACCAGCATGCATGTACACCAGCACACATGTACACCAGCACACATAGGAACAGACACACATGTACACCAGCACACATGTATACCAGCATACATGTATATCAGCACACACAGGAACAGACACACATGTACACCAGCACGCATGTATACCAGCACACATGTACACTAGCACACATGCCTACCAGCACACACAGGAACAGACACACAAAGAGAAGTATGTGGGCTGGGGTGCAGCTCAGTTAAGAGGGTGCTTGCTTATCCATCAGGCACAGAGCTCTGAATTCAATCTACACACCATGGTGGAGTCTAGCTCCAGAGTAGTAGGAGGGTCAGAAATCCAAGGTCACCTTGGTTACATAGCAAGCCAAGGCCAATCAGAGCTGCATGAAGCCTCCTCTCAACACACATGCACACACCAAAAAATAGCAGCAGCAACAATAAATGCAACCAATCAAGCAAGCAAGAAAATGAATGTGTGGGTTAATTCATGAATGACTGTGCTTGGGAGGCTGAGACCAGACAGAGCTACACAGGAAGACCTTGCCTTAAAACCGCCTGGCCCAGCACACACAAAGAAAGCTTGGCTGATTCTGACAGTTTTCACAGGGTTTGGGATTAACTTAGGGCCCTGTGCATGGTGGGTAAGTGCTCTACCACGGAGCCACACCCCTAGCCTGGAAGTCCCTTATGCTGAAGTAAGTGAGGGAAGAAAGTGTGTGACATTCATGCGTGAATGTCCAGCCCAGTTCTTGGAGACAAGGGAAGTCAGG